TTTTTTTTATAAGAATAAAACAAGAAATAAAAGTTCACAAAGAATTCCAGTAATTATGGTCTATTTACGACGAGGCGCATCTTACGATTTTTCTAACACGACTCAAATGAGGTCAGTGTAATACGTGGTGTCCTCGTTTTGTTTAGAGGGGAAAAAGATAGATCACTTGGTACAAGAAAATGAAGGAAGTCGAAAATTGACCGATCAGATAGTTCGGCAAGTATTCCGACCGCGTGGAAACAAGGAGGAGAAACTTGCGTCTGGCCAAAGCGTGAGTATTTTTCAGGCCCACAATCACATGTTAAGGTGATTGTATCCTGCCACATCAGGATACACCTTTGTTATCTTTTTAATTTACATTATTACCCTTTCGATTCTCTCAAACAAAAATTTAATGCGCGTTTGAGAAAATCACTCAATAAATGCTCTGTTGTAATTTCCTTCTTCCCTTGAAGAAAAACGAATTCGTTTTATAGTGACATTAAAAGGCTGAGCTAAAATGCTGCTCCGGAAAGAACAAAAAAGTCAACAAAATTTGTTGTCGAAGCGCCATACGAAGATTAATGGGAGGGTTATGAAATAATTAAAACCACTTCTGGCTTGCTGTCATGTCGGCTGATAATATCTTTGGTTAAGAGATTGTCCTCAAAATTCCACATTTGCCCTTGAGGCTTCGCTTTCCGGCGAAATATTCAGTTTTGAACAATGTCTCATGACATGTTTAGCTGGCATACCAGCCACCTGAACGGGTTTATTTACGAAATGTATAAAGAGAACTAGATTTGGAGAGTGATATAATCAATCATGCTTGTGTGAGTCAAACTTTTAGCCTCGCCTTTGCGCAGCTCCTTCATGTTACTGAAGTTTTGCTCAATCGTCATTTATAGGCGTGGTATGCTTCGCCGGGGATTTCTATCGTTGGCTGCCTCCTGACTTACATGGGATCTGATTGCGACACATGTAAAACGGAAAAGCCTAACAACATTCACAGTGCCAAATTCAAGTCTCCCTTCACACGAGAGACACCACGATTTGAGGTGTGGTTTTGATTTATAGAGAATAACTTACTACGAGCAACAAATTTAATTCGCACACTTCTTGCTCCATGATAGACTCTCTGGATATGCAAAATTAGTACATCTGCTTTTGACCCCTCCCTTTGGAAATCCCAGGTAATGTTAACCTCTCTTTTATAGGCGCTTGTATTCTTTTCTAGTTTGGAGCACTATCACACTCACTTTTTAAGAATGGACCCAACTGTGCCTCCATAATAGAAAGACAAGACTGGTTCTTAATAAGAACCTGTATATTCCTCTTGTAGTATTCTATTCTCACCTTTTCCTTCATGGTAATGTGTCAAGTTCGATCTCATTTGGGTACTGAACCCTTCAACCCCTAAGAGTGAGTAACACGTAGTTTCTACTTACAGCATCATCCCTGAATCAAACATCAAGGGCACAAGAATACAGTGAATAATCACCAACTGAAAAAGCTCTTGATTGTTCAACTAATTCTCCTTGAAAGCACTTTGAGAAATGTATAGGGAACAGTATGGAAGATATTCATAATGATGTTAGGGTGTAAAAGGTTGAATTTATCTTCCTGCTCCACTTCTTTGAGGTGCATGTATGCATGTATGCATGCATGCATGTATACATGTATGCATGTGTGCATTTATGTATGGGGAACAGTAAGGAGGATATTCATAATGACATTCGGATGTGAAAGATTGAATTTAACTCCCTGCTCCACTTTTTTGAGGTGCATGTCAAAGTCAAGCGGTTATACCTTTGATGCCCACCTTTGAATAACGTAATGGTGCCTTCGTTCAGCCCAAATTCCCTTTCAGAGTAATCGTTTTTTTTAATATTATTATTGATATCATAATTGATATGAGTGCTATTTTTTATATGATTATCATCATTATTACAGTTGTTATTGGAGCTGCTTTTGTTTTTTATATGATCATTATAATTTCGGTTGCTGATTGTTTATATTATCGCTAACATCTCAATCATTATTATTATTATTTTGTTTTGGTGTAAGAAGCAAGGATTCCCGCAGTCTCATAAGTGAAATAAAGACTGAAAGAAAATGAAAGTATGGTACTTGGGGTAACCTTAACAACTTCAACACCTTCAATACAAAAGTCCGTCCTTGTTTACAGGTTCTTATTCAGGAGACTGGGGAGAAGCGTATTGTGGCACTTGGTGTTGTGGATGAGTTTTACGACTGTCACAAAATGCCTGGCTGGTATTCTGGAACAGTCGGTTACCACGTGGACGATGGGAAAATTTTTGACACTGGCAACCCTAAGTATGGAAGAGAAGTCGAAGGTACGGGTTGTTTTGATGACAAGTTTAAGATATCTACAACAACGATCTAGAGGCATTTGGTAACGTAGTCAACGTCTACAGTGGTTCTGAGGGGGAACCTTGCGACAATGGGTTCCTGTTTTAAAAAAACAAATAGATTCAGAAATGTTTGAAAACGTTATGGGAAACACTTTGACATCATGATAGACCTCTAGAGATGATTACTCTGACGTACATTGGATAAATTAGGAAAGTACTGTAGTTGTGCGCGCAAGATAAAGTGTTGAACGAATTCCGTGTGCCTAGAGTGTAAAACTAAAAGAGACACCTGCATCCTTCGATCGCGGGGGATCGAACCCTCGCCTTCTGCTTGCCGATCAAATGCTTTACAGAGAACACATTACAGGCCTAGAAAGAACTAGATTCATATCAACATATGACACTGTTAGGATCATTGATATTGATAATTCTCCTCGTATAAACAGAATAAGGGAGATTAAACTTTGTCTTCGGATGAACGAAGAGGTAGGTTATTGATCAAAATCAAGCAGCAAAGAAAAATGTTTAATTTCATACAGTGTTGTTACATTGTTGGCTATATAACGAAGTTTCCAGAAATCGAGAGAACAATTTATAACACTGACTTACCACATCACTATGTTTATAAGCCTTGCTAGAAACTTCTCCTCATTCCAGAACATTCTGTTGAGTTATTTTAGAGATGTCTCATCATTAGCGTCTAGAATGTTCTTACTGCTAAGAATGGTGTTTAAAAAATAGGTACGACATAATCGACTACTATGAATAAGGTTCGAGATCGTAAGATTTAGTAAGGTTTTCAGAAGTTTGAGATACCACTGTAAAGTTAGGTCGCAGATCTGTAAAGTGTTTTAACTGGGAAAACAGGAATCTACTCTTGGCTTCGTGACAAACTACCTTATGTTTGTTTGTTTGTTTTTTTTTTGTTGTTGTTGTTATTATTATCTTTTTGCTATGAGCTAAATTTTTTATGTTGATCATTTAGGAGCCATGGCTTACCGTGGTGATCTCATCGCCTGTGAAGTTGACTTTGAAAACGTCTCCAAGGGCGAAATCCCTGTGCTCTTCTCCTTGAACGGCAAAGAAGTGGCGCGTTCTTCGATGAAATATACTTTGGGACAAGAACTATTTCCCTTCGTCTCATTAGGATATGAAGGCATTACAGTGCTCACAAAGGTATGTTCGAGGAGGTAATGGGCTAGAAATTAGAGCTGTAATTTGTTTGGCTTCATTAGTGATCTGCTAACATATTACACCTCGGGAAGCTCCTCTAGCCACAAGAGATTGTTCCTGTGACTAAATCAGAAGCATTTGGCGGTGGAGCTCTCTCTCTGTGGCAGCTCTCAGATGCTGAAATCAATTTCCATCATTGAAAGGCAGAAATTTGTCGTATCCAGTGTTGAAAAGACCACGAAAACTTTGTTCAAGTCTGTGTAATTTTCAAATGTTTGTGAACTTTACAAAACTATCCACCCAGTATAACAAAAAGTCTGTGCCCAGTGGAGTTTACAGTTCACAACTATTATCATCGCTGTCGTAGATTCCGGTATTTTTTTACATTTGAAACGTTTGATTTGCGCACGCTTTAGATGTGCTATCGTGACAGAGACCGTTTCAGTGGAGTAACAAATGAAGACATTCAGGAGAAAATTGAAGTTCTGAGAGGTGATGTTCAGCATCAACTTGCCGAGCAAGCGAGGAATGTTCAACATCAACTTGTCGAGCAAGCGAGGAATGTTCAACATCAACTTGCCGAGCAAG